ATATATATGTATATATATTAATGTAAATAATATGTATATATATATTCATATATATGTATATATATATATGTAATATATATTATATTAAATATATATATATAAATATATATATATATTATATAATTATATATATATTATATATTAATATATATATATATATAAATATTATATATATTATATATATATATTTTATAATATAATATTATATATATATATATATATATAATATATAATATATATATAATAATTTATAATAAATATAAAATAAAATAATAAAATTTATAAATAATAAAAATTTAAAAATAATATATAATAAATATAAATAAATATATATAAAAAATTTTAAAAATAAATATAAATTTTTAATATAAAATAATATTTTATATATATTATAAAAATAAATTTATAATATATAATATTAAATTGTTTTTTTTTTATTTTTTTTTTTTTTTTTTTTTTTTTTTTTTTTTTTTATGTTATTTGTTTTTTTTTTTTTTGTTTTTTTTGTTTTTGTTATTTTTGTTTTTTGTTTTGTTTTTTTTGTTTTTTTTGGGGTTTTTGTTTTTTTTTTTTTTTTTTTGTTTTTTTTTATTTTTTGTTTTTTGTTTTTATGTTTTATTTTAGTTTTTTTTTTTTTTGTTTTTTTTTTTTTTTTTTTTTTTTATTTTGTTTTTTTTTTTTTTTTTTTTTTTTTTTTTAAAATTTTTAATTTTTTTTTTTTTTTTAATTTTTTTTTTTTTTTTTTTTTAATATTAATAAAATTTATTTATTATATATTTATATATTTATTTAAAATTTTTAAAATATATATATATTTTTAAATTTAAAAAATTATATTTATTATTAATTTTATATATATTTATATTTAAAAATTAAAAATTAATAATTTTAAAAATTATTATATATATTATATATATAATTATTATATTGTATTAATATGTATTTAAAATGTTATATATAAATAATATATATATATATATATAATAATTCCTAGGTATGGGTTGGTAGACAGCACCGCCCAGGGAGGTACTACCGTCCTCAAGTGAGTGAAAAATGGAAGCCTGTAATTTTTTACAGATGGTAGGATTGCTGGTTCCTTTTTTTTCTGTCTCATGAACATGCAAGATTTCGGGTACGTCTTGCTCTTCTACTTACCTTGGTCACACAAAAACAGTACAAGCACATATATGCACACCCCCTCTGGGTTTTCTTCATTTTTTTTCTAGTTCTTATCTTGTTTTTTTCCCCTCTTACTCCTGGGGAAGTGGAACAGAATTTTCCTCCGAAGCCATGCATGTTGAAAAGAGGCGACTAAAATGCCGGGGAAAGGGGCTAGTAACCTCTTCTCCTTATATATTATAAATGAAAAAGGGAGAAACTTTCTTTTTTTTCCTTTTGGGGCCACCCCCCCTCGGTGGGATACGGCCGTGTGTTGAAAGAAAGATATATTTAATTATATATATGTATATATATATTTAAAATAAAATATTATATATATTATATATATAATATATATATAATATTATTATAAAAAATTTTATATATATTTTATAATAATAATAATTTGTTATTTATTATAAAATTTTATATATAATATATATATATATATAATATATAATATATAAAATATATATAAATAAAAAATATATATTATATATATATATATATTTATAATATATATATAATTATAAATATATATATTATATAATATTTTTAAATATATATATACCACACCCCTCGGGGTTTTCTGCTGTTTTTTTTCTATTTCTTGTTTTTGTTTTTTTCCCTATTCCATGGGGAATTGGAATAAAATTTCTTCCCCCGTAAGTCATGGTGTTGAAAGGGGCGCCTAAAATACGGGAGCAAAGGGCTAGAAAACCCCTTTCCTGTAAAAATTACTAATTTAAAAAGAAAAAAATTTTCGTTTTTTTTTTGGGCCACCCTCCTCGGGGGGATACTGGTTTACAATCAAGGTTAGCCATTTTTTTGTTACAGGATCGGGTTTTTTTTTGATACTATGAACCTCCTTGGTTGAATTTTGAAGGCTGTCTGGTTGACAAAATGCATTATAATATTATCTTATTACAATATAGTAGTCCCAACAGCAAAATTTCAAGTTTGTCTTGAAATGTTTCCTGAAGTTTTGGGGTTTTAATGTTTAAATTTTGAAGCAAATGATTAGCTCTTATTTGAAATTTCTCTTAATTCAAAGAGTAAAAATTTTTATCTGGAATAAAATGAATTTTCCATTATCTTTGCTCAAGAACCCCCCAAGGGAGGTTCCTTGATGCTGGTGAGGGTTCTTTTCTCGGGGGAAAATTTACTTCCCCTCCCTTTCTTTGGATAAAACCTGATGCCCCCCTTTCCCCAAGTGCTGAAATGACACCTGTGGGCTTAACAATCCAAAAAATTTTAATAATTGACTCAAAAAATTTTAATTTCATTAAGGTTTAAATTGACTGGGTGGCAATTACTTTGACTGCTTCATTTATTACCCCCTGATCATAGTAATTATTGCCAAAACCATCCCAATTGTTTTTTTGTGGATGATAACTGGTCAAAATTTTCTTTGATTTTTCTTCAAATATGAAACAAATTTTCCCCAAACATTAAATCTTGTGATATTTCATTTTTTTACGTTGCTTTCAAATTTTTCCGTTTTGGGAGATAATTGCTTTGCGGAAAAAAAAAAAAAAAAAGGGAAGGAGGTCCTGTGGGCCCGTGCCAATTGTTTTCTTAAAATGCCTGAACTTTCTTTAAATTTTTCGGGATTAATTTGGGTGCTAGTTTTGTTTTTGGGTTCTTATCTTTTCTGGGGTCCCCCCCATCCAAAACCCCCTTTATATATACAGATACTAATTTTTTTTTTTGAAGGAACGTATATTGGTAGGTATTTTTAAAAAGCCCGGCTAAAAAGTTTTTAAAAGCTAACAAAATGGTCAAATATGCATAAGCTTTTAAAGGTTTTGGATTGATGTTAGCCACCAGTGGGGTGTTTTGGGAAAATAAAAGTTTTCTGATTAGGCCTCTATTGTAGGTTTTTAAAATGTTGAAAAGACTTGTGCCCTGGCATCACGCACTGTGTGTAATACTCGGGGGGATAATACTGCTCCTTGTTGGCGGGGTTGGGTTTACCTTATTTAAAAGGGAAACAAAGCTTTGGTGCATCTTCTGTAATCTCCTCCCGTGCCTCAACAGTCATATGCTTTAAAAGGTTTTTCTGATGGTGCCACCTCTGGTCACTTTGTACTCTCCTTTTTTTCTTTCTTTCTCCTCCCTCCTCTCTCTCTCTCCCCTCTTCCTCTCCCCCCCCCCCCCCCCCCCCCCCCCCTCCCTCTTTCTCCCTTTCCCCCCCCTTTTTCCCCTTTTTTTTCTTCTCTTTCTTTCCATCTTTCTTCCCCTTTCTTTTTTCTTTCCTCCTTTTTTTTTTCCCCCTTTTCCCCCCTTTCTCTTTTTTTCTTCTTTCTTTTTTTCTTTTTTCCCCCCTTTTTTTTTTCTTTTCTCTCTTTCCCCTTTTTCTCTCTTTTCCCCCCTCTTTCTCTCTTTTCTCTCTTTTCTTCATTCCTCTTTTCTCCTCTTTTCTTCTTTTCTCTCTTTTCTCCCTTTTCTCTCTTTCTCTCTCTTTTCTCTCTTTTCTCTTCCTTTCTCTCTTTCTCCTCTTTCTCCCTTTCCCTTTCTCTCCTTCTTTTTTCTTTTCTCTCTTTTCTCTCTCTCTTTCTCCTTTCCTCTCCTCTTTCTCCCTTTCTCTCCTCTTCTCTCTCATCCCCTCTCTTCTCTCTTTCTCTCTTTTTTCCCCCTTCTCCTCTCTTTTTTCCCTTACCTCTCTTTTCTCTCTTTTCACTCTTTTCTCTCTCTTTCTCCTCCTTCTCTTCTTCTCCTCTCTTTCCTCCTTTTCCCTCTCTTTCTCCTCCCTCTTTCCTTTTCTCTTTCTTTTCCTTCTCTTTCTTTCCTCTTTTCTTTTCTCTCTCTCCTCTTCCCTCCCTCCTCTCTCTCCTCCTCTTCTCTCTCTCTCTCCTCTTTCCCTTTTCTCTTTCCCTTTCTTTCTCTTTCTTTTTCCCTCTCTCTTTCTCTTTCCTTTCTCCTTCTCTTTCTTTCTCTTTCTTTCTCTTTTTTCTTTCTCTTTTTCTTTCTTTCTCCCCCCTCCTCCCTCCTCCCTCCTCCTCTCCTCCTCTCTCTCTTCTCTCTCTCTCTCTCTCTCTCTCTCTCTCTTTCCCTTTTTTTCTCTTTTTCTTTCTTTCTCTTTTTTTTTTCTCTTTCTCTCTCTCTCCCTCCCCCCTCCTCTCTCTCCTCCTCCTCTCTCTCCCCCTCCTCCTCCTCTCTCCCTCCTCCTCCTCTTCTCTCTCCTCCTCTTCTCCCTCCTCTTCCTCCTCCCCTCTCTCTCCTCCCCTCTCTCTCCTCCCCTTCCTCCTCCTCCCCTCTCTCCTCTCCCCTCTCTCTCCTCCCCTCTCCTCCTCCCCTCTCTCCCCTCCCCTCTCTCCTCCCCTCTCCTCCTCCCCTTCCCCCCCTCTCTCCCCTCCCCTCTCCCCTCCTCTCCTCCTCTTCTCCCCCTCCCCTCTCCTCCTCTCTCTCCTCCCCTCTCCTCCTCTCTCGTCTCTCTCTCCTCTCTCCTCTCTCTCCCTCTCCTCCTCCTCCTCCTCTCTCTCTCCCTCTCCTCTTCCTCCTCTCTCTCTCCTCTCTCTCCCTCTCCCCTTTTCCTCCCTATCTCTCCATTTTCCTCCTCTCCTCTCTCTTCTTCTCCTCTCTTCTCTCTTCTCTCTTCTCTCTCCTCTCTTCTCTCTCCTCTCTCTCTCCTCTTATCCTCTCTTCCTCCCTGCTAACTCCTCTTTTTTTCTTGCCTTCTCTTTCTCCTTCTGTTTCTCCTCTGTCCCCATCTCCTCTTCCACTCTTCCTCTCTCCTCTCCTTTATAAAATGTACATAATATTTACACAAAATGTATTAAAGACTTTATGGTATTACTTGAAATTCAGATTTTTAATATAGAATCTCCCTTACATGAAAGGACGTTCACTGCGTATGATGATACGCATTTAGCACGGAACCGTCATGCCAGGTATGAGTCCTTATTTCATTATGCAGTAGAGCTCCTATAATTTGGATTATGATAAGTTTGTAGATACATATACTGGATGTATTATTGTATTAGTGCATTTGGTGTACAGTATTATTTTGCATTAGAATTCCTTTAATTGTTACATTTTTTGTCACTTCCAGAGTAATTAGTATGCTCCTCTATCTTTTGTATATATTTTCCTGTGAAGTCATTGGAGGTATTGAGAGTTACAGTAGTATAGCCTAGTGTAGTTACCAACTCTTTGCATCTTCATAGTCTTTGATTTACATATTATTCTCTTAATATTTATGTCCAAGAAGAATGAAAATCACTATACTGTGGTTGGAACAAGTCATGAATAACCCGAACTGAAGCATCAGTCCGTTCTAACATTCCGTACAGTGGACTCCCGGATTACGTCGTCATTGGAATTCGTAATATTTGGAATAAGTAACGTTTTTTCGTCAAACTATTGTCTCGATCATCATTGAACTTGGTATTAGTCATTTGTCCTGAATGTGTCCATGCAGCCCGAGCAGTCTGACACACCATTTACAGCCAGTGTGCCATTGTTTATCAGGTAGCGAGGATGATCCCATGTGTTCATATGATATATTTTGATATTATTCCATTCTTTTCAGTGCTTGCAACTGCTAAATAAGCCATCATGAGCCCTAAGAAAGCTTCTAGTGCCGGCCCTTTCGTAAAGAGGGTGAGAAACACTATAGAATCCAAGAAAGACATCGTTGCAAAATATGAAAGTGGAGTACATGTCGCAGAGCTGACCAGGTTGTATAACAAATCCCATACAACCATCGCTTCTATCGTGGCCATGAGAAAGGAAATCAAGGAAGCTGTTGCTGCGAAAGATGCAAATGTGCTTACAAAACAGAGATCGCAAATACTGGAAGATGTGGAGACTTCGTTGTTAGTGTGGATCAACGAGAAGCAATTATCAGGAGGAAGTGTGATGTAGTCTAATTTGTGAAAAGGCAAGGCAGTTGCAGGATGATCTTGTAAAGAAAATGCCCGGAACTAGTGCTGATATTGGTGAATTTAAGGCCAGAAAAGGCTGGTGTGAGAGATTTAAGAATTGTAGTGGCATACACAGTGTGATATGGCATGGTGAGACTGGCAGTTCAGACAAAAAGCAGCTGAAAAATATGTTCAGGAATTCATAGGGCACATAGAGGCTGAAAAATTCAAACCCCAACAAGTCTTCAGTTGTGACAAAATAGGTCTCGTTTGGAAGAAAATGCCAAAGAGGACCTACATTACTCAGGAGGAAAAGGCATTCCCAGGACACAAGCCTATGAAAGACAGGCTAACACTCAAGTTTTGTAGTAATGCTAGTGGGGATTTCAAAGTGAGGCCTTTACTGGTGTATCACTGAAAATCCCAGAGTGTTTGAGGAAAACATTGTCGTCAAGAGTAAATTGTGTGATGTGGGAAGCAAACATTAAGGCATGGTTCACAAGGGACATTTTCCTTGATTGGTTTAATGACATGTTTGGCCCCAGTGTGAAGAAATACCTCCTGGAAAATAAATTGGAACTCAAGTGCCTCCTATTAATGGACAGTGCTCCTGCTCATCCTTCAGACTTGGAAGAGCAAATGGTGCAGGAGTGAGGTTCTTGCCCCCTAATACCACTCCACTCCTCCAGCCCATGGACCAGCAGGTCATTTCAAATTTCAAAAAACTGTATGCCAAAGCAGTGTTTCAAAAGTGCTTTCAAGTGACCTCAGACACTCAATTGACTCTAAGAGAGAGTTCTGGAAAATCACTTCAATATCTTCCATTGCATAAACTTCATAGGTAAGGCTTGGGAGGGAATGACTTTCAGGACTTTGAACTCTGCTTGGAAAAAATTGTGGCCACAATGTGTACAAGAGAGAGATTTTGAAGGGTTTGGGGCTGACCCTGAGGAGCCTATGTCAGTTGTGGAAAAGTATTGTAGCCTTGGGGAATTCCATGGGGGTTGGATGTGAGTTTCGAGGATGTGGAAGAGTTGGTGGAGGACCACAATGAAGCTCTTGCAGATGAAGCTGCAAGAGCTTCATCTGCAACAGTAACAGACCACAGCTCAGGAAATTGCTTCAGAGGAGGAGGAGAGATGGAGGAAGGAGCCTTTTTCAAAGAATAAGGAAATTTGTGCAATATGGACGAAGGTGCAAACATTTATGGATGAACATCACCCTGACAAAGCTGTTGCAGGCCGTGTTGGCAACATGTACAATGACAAGGTTGTGTCCCATTTTAGGGAAGTTTTAAAGAAACCCTAGAAACAGACCTCTCTGGAACACCTTTTTGAGCAGACAGGGGTTCAGTGATTCTCAAGCTGGTCCTAGTGGCATTAAAAAACTAAGAAGGGAAGTAACCCTGGAAGAGGACTTAGTACCTGAAGTCTTTATGAAAGGGGATTCCCCTTCCATACAATAATACACCTCCATCCTCTCCCCTCCTCCCATCTCATCACTCATCAATAAGTCTTCAATAAAGGTAAGTGTCATTTTAGTATTGTTTTATTCTGCATGTCTCATTGTTTTCTGTGTAAGGAAATTTATATTTCATGTAAAAAATTATTTTTTTAATACTTTTGGGTGTTGGGAATGGATTAATTGGATTTCCATTATTTCTAATGGGGAAAATTAATTCGGAATTTGTCAGATTTGGGTTTAGTCACTCTCTCTGGAGTGGATTAATTACAAAAACCGGGGGTCCACTTGCTTTGTTCAGTAATATTATTTTCAGTTGATACTGTTTGTGAAAGCATTTATTGTACTTTTGTGCAAGAGGTAAGGAGACCCTTTGTGCAACATGGTATCTCAACGCAGCCTAGACTAGTGTACCTACTTACATTTTGCATATTAACTCTTTCTTCAACGATGGATCAAAACATTATCATAAGTTTCCTCCCTTAAGTGCGGGTTATTTATGATTTATTGTATTTTTTTTCAATGTGGCTTATGCAGAGAAAATAGATAATAAATGAATTTAGAACAACATACTATATTTTTACTATATGTATATTAGAGGGATAGCTTGTTTATATATATGTGCATGTATAGGCACACATGTGAGAGTACATATAAGTGAAAATTGCATGTGTACATTTTCAGTGTGTGTATGTAAGAATGTGTGTGTATGAATCATTCATTTAATACCGCTTAAAATAATATTCCATGAAATATGTTCATATTGTATGCATATATACCTGAGTGTGTGTATATGTATGTGTATGTGGGAATTTGTGTGTATGAATCAATTATATGATACTGCATATATTATTATTTCATAAAAATTCATGTTCTTGTGTTGCTACACATATATAAGAAGAGAAAGGAGATGGAGATATGGTACATCCGTCTGCTGATACCACCTTAAACACTCAAATAATTTAGTTTCCATTTATTTCTCCTCTTTCCAGTACTGTATACCATTTAATAATAAAGTGGGCAAACTGAACCCTACATAATCAAAACATGACAGTCATAAGTATTAACACAAAGGAAGGGCTACACCCAAAGGGTTAGGAATTCTACCACAGCCATTTTCCACTAGTTCAGTGTCAGTAGGATCTTTGCTTTACTCATGCTCATTACAGAGAAAAAATAAATGGCCTTCTATGGCCTTTTTATTTCCATCTTCCCGGAAGTTTCACATCAATATATTATGCCTAGCACATTGTGTATCCTTTGAGTTGTAATAATTTCTATTATTGGACCATTAATATTTTTATAACACTTGGCTCTCAATTTCAGTATGGAAGACAATTTCCAGCCCATGAATTTTTCTCCTTCCAAAAGTTCTTACTCTTAGTTCTTTATCAAAAAAAAAAAAATCATAATCTCAATAGTATATTAATGAAGAATTCTAAGTTTATTTTATGTCTAGATATCTAATGATGCTTTTTGTGCCACTATATAATAATTATATATTTTACGGACTGTGATTCAAGCTCCGTCTACCCTTCTGTTTATACACATATACTATATATATTTATTATTTTTATTATCACACTGGCCGATTCCCACCAAGGCAGGGTGGCCCGAAAAAGAAAAACTTTCACCATCATTCACTCCATCACTGTCTTGCCAGAAGGGTGCTTTACACTACAGTTTTTAAACTGCAACATTAACACCCCTCCTTCAGAGTGCAGGCACTGTACTTCCCATCTCCAGGACTCAAGTCCGGCCTGCCGGTTTCCCTGAATCCCTTCATAAATGTTACTTTGCTCACACTCCAACAGCACGTCAAGTATTAAAAACCATTTGTCTCCATTCACTCCTATCAAACACGCTCACGCATGCCTGCTGGAAGTCCAAGCCCCTCGCACACAAAACCTCCTTTACCCCCTCCCTCCAACCTTTCCTAGGCCGACCCCTACCCCGCCTTCCTTCCACTACAGACTGATACACTCTTGAAGTCATTCTGTTTCGCTCCATTCTCTCTACATGTCCGAACCACCTCAACAACCCTTCCTCAGCCCTGTGGACAACAGTTTTGGTAATCCCGCACCTCCTCCTAACCTCCAAACTCGAATTCTCTGCATTATATTCACACCACACATTGCCCTCAGACATGACATCTCCACTGCCTCCAGCCTTCTCCTCGCTGCAACATTCATCACCCACGCTTCACACCCATATAAGAGCGTTGGTAAAACTATACTCTCATACATTCCCCTCTTGCCTCCAAGGACAAAGTTCTTTGTCTCCACAGACTCCTAAGTGCACCACTCACTCTTTTTTCCCCTCATCAATTCTATGATTCACCTCATCTTTCATAGACCCATCCACTGACACGTCCACTCCCAAATATCTGAATATGTTCACCTCCTCCATACTCTCTCCCTCCAATCTGATATTCAATCTTTCATCACCTAATCTTTTTGTTATCCTCATAACCTTACTCTTTCCTGTATTCACCTTTAATTTTCTTCTTTTGCACACCCTACCAAATTCATCCACCAATCTCTGCAACTTCTTTCAGAATCTCCCAAGAGTACAGTGTCATCAGCAAAGAGCAGCTGTGACAACTCCCACTTTGTGTGTGATTCTTTATCTTTTAACTCCACGCCTCTTGCCAAGACCCTCGCATTTACTTCTCTTACAACCCCATCTATAAATATATTAAACAACCACGTATGACCATCAAAACACCTTGTTAGGCCTACTATTTACTGTATATAATTTTCCCACTCTTCCTACATACCTAACTTGAGCCTCACTATCCTTGAAAATTCACAAATTTCAGTACCTACCTCCTACACCATACACCTGCAACATCTGCACAATTGCCCCCATTTTCACCCTGTCATATCCTGCCTTTTCTAAACCCTATGAATGCCACAGACCTCTTTAGGTTACCTAATACTGTTCTACATTATATTATTCACTAAACACCTCCAACAACCCCTACCCTTTTAACATCTTGTATCTGCTATCCTAATCACCATTTAATCTTAAATTTTTCAATAATAACTCTAACCTATAACTTTTACAGTATATATAAAGATTATTATAATTTTTATCTTTTATATCCCTTTACTTTTATATAATGGAACTATGCATGCTCTTTCATAATCTATAAATTACTATTCCATAATTTATTAAATATATTGCCAACACTAAAATATTATCACTATATTTAACATTTCTATCTTATCCATAATTACACTATATATATATATATATATATATATATATATATATATATATATATATATATATATATAATATATATATATATATATATTATATATATATATATATATATATATATATATATATATAAATTATTTTTTTTATTTTCCCAACATGTTGGCCTTTTGTGCATATTTATGTATACATATATATGTATATATATACATATTGTATATTGCCTTTTCAGTCCAAGAAATCCAGAAGGATTGACATCGTTATGGGTTGGCAATGTTTTACCAGAAGTTACGGAAATTATGCTTAGCCAGTTGTTTTCAAAGTAAGTTTTGTACCAGTTGTTTTCAAAGTAAGTTTATATCTGTTGTTTTCAAAGTTAGTTTTATGTCAGTTGTTTTCAAAGTACATTTTATATCAGTTGTTTTCAAAGTAAGTTTTATACCAGTTGTTTTCAAAGTAAGTTTTATGTCTGTTATATTTTTGGGTCATTGGTTTACATTTTCCTTATCCATCATAAGGCTCAGTTATTAATAGTTTCTAGTACATTGATGAGGTGTGGATTCCACAGTGTGTGGGTGGTATGTTCATAGTTGCAACTTTCTTCCTGTTGATACTTTCTGTAATTTAAGACCTAATTTAAACAAGGTTTTGGTTTTATGGTGTAAATGTCAAAAGTTCAGAGTTTAAGTTCAGTTAAAACTTCACTTATTGCAAATATCACTCCTCAGGGCTTTGCTTTATGATTTTCTCTGACATCACTCAACTTTGAGACAGACAGTATCCTAGAATCAAAATGTGAGAATTGGAAATACTACTACTATTACTAGGTATGAAAATCTGTAGATTTTTGTTACAATACATATTAACTGCAAGTTAAAGGAGACTTAGGATGCAGTAGACATAAAAAACATTGTAATAAAAATGGCTGGCTGAAAAAGTTTCTAAGAGTTTCCTTAAAAAACATCTCAGACTTTCTGTTGCAGAAAAATAGGAGATTTTTTATTTTAGAATTGTATAAAAGCAATTATAAACTAGGAAATAGTTTTGGTTGGAGATGATGAAAACACTTGGTTACCTGGCACTTATATTCTGGATTTGTCACCTGTAAATAAATGGGACTATCAAAGGAAATTAGGCATTGGAATTGTAAGCAGACAAAAAAAATATTTAGACATCCTTTTATTTCCATTGCAGTATTTGAGTTTTGACAGTCCTAAGCTGTTACCTTCTATTCCATGTATGACAGTAGCTGAATTGAAGAAGTTTCTATTATATAATTACTAGAAATTATAATAGAAAATGATTTATTTCAGATTCACATATTTTTTTTTCAGACAAGGTCGTGTAACTAGTGTCCGTCTTCTGAAAGAAAAATACTGCGCATTTGTTAACTATGCAGATAAAGTTGCTGCTGGTCGTGCAATGGAAGCGTTACAAGGTCACGAGTTTTGCGGCCAGAAGCTTCTTATTAAATTCCCAGATAATCCCATAGTTAGCAGTGCTCAGAATGCTATCATCAGGAAAAACAAGCCTCAGATTATAAAGAAGTAAGTACAGGTGTAAATATTCTTAACAACATGAACATCTAACATAATAAAAGCGTAGGTATGTCAAATTGATGTCATTAGTAGTGAATCAAAGATCTCTGACAGCTCCCATCATTGTCTGCACACAGAATGTAAACATCAAGGTGATAAGCAAGCCAAAATATACTAAAAAAAGTAAGTAGAGGTGTTGGCTACCTTCTTTGAGTGTCCATCATTTGCACTGTAGTTTTATTCAGTTTCTTGTCATGTATCACTTGGCACTATCAAGTTTTTATTAACAATGGAACATATCCCCAGAATAATATGCAGTGTAAAATAAATTGCAGCTTTAACATTTATAGTCTTACATTACTTTCTTTATATTCTGTAAATTTTCCACACAAATTTCAGCTGTTTTAAGTTTTAATTATTATGGTTAAATTAATTGGAAAATATTTTAGGCAGTTAATGAATTAACATCAAGCTCAATGGTTTCATTGTTATAATAATTATTGAGGGAAAAAGGTACTCTTTAATTTTGCATGTGTGCACAATTCATATATATATATGAAAGACGCAAGTACATCATGTGCTGCAGCCCAAAAGTCATTTAACGTAGATATTTAATAAGCAAATGATATTTACAAGAATGTTTTTTTGACATCACTTAGAATGAATCCATGTGTTATTCATCTTCAACATCATATACACTCAATGGCATAAGAATTTAGTTTTGATTAATTTATTTGGCTTAAATCTTCTGAATTGGGTCACAGGAATTATTTTAGAAAAGTAATTTTTTTCATTCAAAATACTGTATACAGTATGTATTATTTGATATTTTAGAGGATAAGGTACTGAATGAAAAAGCAAAAGTCGCAGTGAATGAGAATGCACAAGTCACAGTGAATGAGAATGCACAAGTCACAGTGAATGAGAATGCACAAGTCACAGTGAATGAGAATGCACAGGTCACAGTGAATGAGAATGCACAAGTCGCAGTGAAAGAGAATGCACAAGTCGCAGTGAAAGAGAATTCATAAGTCGCAGTGAAAGAGAATGCATAGGTCGCAGTGAATGAGAATGCACAAGTCGCAGTGAATGAGAATGCACAAGTCACTGTGAATGAGGAAGTAAGAGTGGCAGTGAATGAAAAACTTGATAAGGAATGAGAAAGTCAAATGATAATGAATGAGAAAATTGGAGTAATAGTGACTGAGACAGTAAGAAAGGCAATTAAGTAAGAGTGGCAGTGAATGAGAAGTAAGAATCCAGTATACACAGCTATTGCTATTCCAGTAACCACCAGGAGGTAATCACAAGTAGGTTGTACAAAAAGGCATACATGTACATACACACAGACTGGATCAGGAGCTGAGACTCAACCCTGCAACCACAGATTGGCAAGTACAAGTAGAGGAATGGATGCTTATATTCACACATGCATATATACATACATGCCCACATTCATACACATACACACACCTGCACACACATATATGTACTGTACATAAATATAAATATGCAGAAGGCCATATTCTTGGGAGTTTGTCACAGCAGTCAGTCAATACTGTAGTTAAGGGCAGCACATGGTTGAAGAAGAGCTGCAAAGGCTAATTTTTCATGCTGTTTTTTGGAATTGTTTGAAAGGAGGATACTTTTGGCAGGAGCAACACATTGGTATTAGTTTCAAGGCAAATAAAAGATCCTAATTTTTAAAGCATTCCACTCTACCAAATGCACCACTGTTTTTTGCTGTGGGGCAGGATTTTTTTTTTTACTGTGTGTATGCACACAGTACACTCATTGCACAGACCCATTTTCTAATATCTAGGCCAAAATTTACCACTCACAGCTTGACTTGAGTGAGCTGAGCTCATGTGAGGGAGTCTGGGCTCAATGACATAGTTGTGCATGAGGGCCACTGAAAGGGTTCATACAATCTGAGGAATTGTTGTAGATATGGATATTTCTCATTCTTTTTCAAAATGTTTATCATTAATCTTTGCACATTTTGGCATGAAATAAACACAAATCATATACCCACCTTACTAGTAAGTATGACACAATAGCCGTATGTCCAGTAGTAACCCAATGAAAATTGTGTACAGTTTTCCCTTTCCTTGCTCCTCAAAGAGGGTTTTCCCCACAAGATATTGTGAGCAGCAATGGCAGATGAAAGAAACACCACTGTAATCTTATACTAATCACTTATTTTCAAGAGTGTAGCAGTGAAAGAGTTAAATGTATTGTATTTAAACCCACCATGAGTAAATGAAATGGAGCACATTCAGAAAACAGTTAAAAAAAAAATTGTTGTTAATGGGCATTAAAATTGTAGCTTCAAATGACGTATAGTATCGCAGTAAGTTTAAAGAAATGTGTGGACGAGTTAATTTATCCACTCTGAACTATTTCTGAGACTTCATTAAGTGAAGATAAATTGACAAATATTATGCCAAGATTTAATGAAAGGATAAGAATGACTCCAATGTATAGGCCTGTCTTGGAAACTAAGTGTTTGTTTTTAAAACATGCGGAAGTCCCAATGGGTTGAACAATAGAAAAAAAATCCAAAAAAAAAAGTTATTTATCTGATATGATCCTAGCGTATACTAATCTTTTGAGTTATAACATGTATAGAGAGGTGTCAGAAATAAATTCAAGGGTAAGTATGTTTACTTTGAAATAAAAATATTCTTCTCATTAGAGATTCAACCTGGAAATTGCTAAATAGGTAATTAAGCGTTTTTGCACTTAAACAAAGAACTTTTTTTATGAAAGTTTGATAAAGTGAAAAAAAAAAAGCTTTCTATGGTGATCCTCTAATGGGCCCTTCCCACAAGATTCACCCTTCATAAATCCATCCCCGAACAACGTCACGTCCCAAGTATCTGAAAACATTCACTTCTTCCATACTACCGCCCCAATTTGACTATCCAATTTTTCCTTTACTAAATCAATTCCTCTCATCACCTTCACTTTTCTATGACTCACTTCAACTTTCTCCTCTACTACATTTCGCAAATCTCCATCACTAACCTTTGCAATTTCTCTCTTAGAATTCCATAACCACAGTATCATCACCAAAAAGTGACTATGTCATTACCCACATCTCTATTCCACGAATTTGATTCCCCATAATTTAATCCCCACCCTCTACCCGAACACCTAGCATCACCTTCTTTCTACAACCTCATCTTAAATATTAAACAACCCATGGATGAATTTACAATCCCTAGTCTAAGACATACTTTTTACCGGGAAGTATTCTCCCTCTCTTCACACACCCTAACCTGAGCCTCACTACCTCATTAAACCTCTTACAGCATTTAGTAATTACCACCTATTCAAATACTTGCAACATCTGCCACATTGCTCCTCTATCCACTCTATCATATGCCTTTTCTAAATCCATAAATGCAATAAAAACTTCCCTACCTTTATCTAAATACTGTTCACATATATGCTTCAATGTAAACATGTGATCTACACATCCCCTACCCACTCTGAAACCTCCTTGCTCATCTGCAATCCTACATTCTGTCTTACCTCTAATTCTTTCAGTTATAACCATACCGTACACTTTTCCTGGTATACTCAGTAAACTTATTCCTCTATAATTTTTACAATCTCTTTTGTCCCCTTTCCCTTTATATAAAGGGACTATACATGCTCTCCGCCAATCCCTAGGTACCTTCCCCTCTTTCATACATTTATTAAACAAAAGTACCAACCACTCCAACACTATATCTCCCCCTGCTTTTAACATTTCTGTCATGATCCCGTCAGTTCCAGCTGCTTTACCCTCTTTCATTCTACGTAATGCCTCACTTACCTCCCCCACACTTACATTCTGCTCTTCTTCACTCCTAAAAGATGGTATACCTCCCTGATCAGTGCATGAAATTACCGCCTCCCTTTCTTCCTTAACATTTAAAAGTTCCTCAAAATATTCTCGCCATTTATCTAATACCTCCATCTCCCCATCTACTAACTCCCCTACTCTGTTTTTAACTGACAAATCTATACTTTCCCTAGGTTTTCTTAACTTATTTAACTCCAAAATTTTTTCTTATTTTCATTAAAATTTTTTGACAGTGCCTCTCCCACTCTATCATTAATTCTTGTGGGAAATATTATTTCGGTTTTAGGCCATTTCGGTTTTAGGCCAACCTTCTGGAATGGATTACTGCTGATAACCGAGGGTCCACTGTACTATTTATTAAAAAGATAAAGTACATTTATTTAACCCTTAAACGGTCCAAACGTATATATACGTTCTCTCGCGTAGCGCCCCAAACGTATATATACGTTTCATTTGTCATTCATTCAACATTGGCACGATAGGCCTGAGTTGCCTAGACATGAGAGAATGGGTGTGCACTCTCAGTGTGTGCCATACGAAAAAAATTTTGGATGCCTGGGTACCACATGCTCTTTTTTCCTATTAAAAAAAAAAAATTATTTTCTCTCAAAATATTTGGGGCACTGCGCAGGTAAACGTATATATACGTCTGGACCATTTAAAGGTTAAAAATTGTCTTCATAAATACAATAGTTAATGGCTTGTACAAAATTGTATCTTTAATATATTTTGCCAAAAGCAGTGGAATTTTAAATCTTATCAGTCTCTTTTTAAAAAAGGGTGACCCTTATCGTGATTTCTACTTCTGTACTACCATTAAAATATGATATATATATATTTATATATATATATTTATATTACATAATGTATATAATATATATATAATATATATATATAATAAATATATATAATACTAAATATATATTATAAAAATATATAAATATTATATATATAAATATATTATATATATATATATATAAATAATATATATATATTAATATATTATATATATATATATATATATATATATATATAAATTTATATATATATATAAATATATTATAATATATATATATATATATATATATAAATATATTATATAAATATATTATATACTATATATATATAATATAATATATAAATATATTATATA